GAAAAAACCAGGCCGCGGCTCCTCCGCAGAGGCGGCGGGAGAGGCGAACGCGGCGGCGACGGCGAGCAGCGGTGGACGGAGGAGAAGATCGAGGGGCCATTGGAGTCTTCCGTCTTCGTGTCTTTCCTCGGCTTCTGCTTCGCACGACAGTGACAATGGTGAACAGGTCCGTATACAGAGGGCTTGGTTCTGTAAATGGTTTCACTATACCTCAGTTGAAAGTACATTACTTTTTCAAGTCTAAGTAACGATTCGGATAATGTAGGAGGATATATGACAGCTTATACAAAGATCTGTACTTCAATAGATGGGTTTCTCTTTCTCTGTTGAGGATGATGATTGACATTATCAATCTAATGGAATTGCCTCAGGTATGCAGAAGTTGGATGAGAAAGAGCCATGGAAATGGAAGCAACTCAAAGCGGAGAATGAGAGCAATGGAGCCGGAGAGTCGAGAAAATGCGGATTGTTACAAAGAATCGAAGGAAAAGGATGCTGAAGACGAAAAGAATCGTACCTCTTCCGACGAGGTTGAGCTTGACGAATGCGGTGAAGCCAGTGTAAGCAATGTTTTGCCGACGAGAAACGGTAGTTCTGGCCGAGCGTCCTCGTCGTCCCGATCCTTGACCACTCCAGGTCGCATCTTTTCTCGTTTCAGATTCATACCCGGTAACATGAGCTCCAGAATAAGCAGAGCCTCAAGCTCAAGATCCCTGAATTCAGTCTCCTCTTCCCGACGGACCACACCGAATGATCGAGAAGCTGTTGTTATTACTTCCCCACCAGAAACTACGGGCAACTTTGTTGATAGAAATGAATCTCGCCTAGAAAATCATACTTCCCCATCAAATTGTTCCACTTATCATGTATCAAACGATGACCAACATGAGCACAGAGTTCCTATTGTCGACATGCATCCACCAAGAGGAGCAAACGAGATAGACAGTAACTATACTGGATTTCTTGATCGGCATCCTGTAGTTCGGGAGCCATCTGAACGAAATGTACGTTTTAGCCGGACACTTAGTGTTGGAAGACTCCGGGATAGGGTTCTTCGGAGGTCTTCACTCTCGGATTTCACGTTCCGTCCTTCAGAGCATCAGAATGAAGATAGTGACAATACCACTTTGCGTGGAAGTGGTCAAGCAACAGCATCAGCGGCAGAAACTAATCATGTGACTTCAATTTCAACACTTGCTCCCTCTCCATCAAGCATCCGTAGATCCTTTTTCGGCATTCGAGATCACGAGATGCAAACTCCTCGTGTGAGAGAAGGGAGATATCAGGATCTATTGGAACACAGATCAAATTTCCTTGAAAGGAGGAGGAGGATCCAATCACAGGTTCTTGATAGTATTCCTTTTTATCTATCTGATCAGCTCAGACCAGTAAGTAACCGATATAACGACATTGAACAGGTTCGTGCTCTTCAAAGAATGGGAAGCCGTATCGGTGAGAACGTTTCAGGCCATGACGGGTCCTGTCCGTTGGGTCAGACTCAAGCAGGTCGTTGCACATGTCGTGCAACAAACACAACTGACGAGACGAATGCCAGGGCTAGCATATCGAGAATAGTAATGCTGGCTGAAGCCTTGTTCGAGGTAAATAAATGATAATGCTAATCCATTATTGTCCCTCTGCATCGATCCCTTTGGTGATATTTGTTTTGTATTTGATCATTTTAGGTTCTGGATGAGATTCACCAGCAATCCGTCGTCTTATCATCTTCTCAACCGTCCGTCTCATCGATCGGATCTGTGCCTGCACCTAACGATGTTGTGGAATCGTTACCCGTGAGACTGTACGCCAAGTCACATAAAGAACAGAATGATGAGGCATCACAGTATGTAACTCTCTCGTTCTAGATTGGTTTATTGCCGTCTTTTGTGACTTGTGGATAACAGCTTTGGATCATCAGATGTTACATATGCCTCTTGGAGTACGAGGAAGGAGACAGTGTGAGGACATTGCCTTGCCATCACGAATTCCACAGAACTTGCGTGGATAAATGGCTCAAGGAAATCCACAGGTGGGGGGAATGAATGGGTGTTTTAGGGTTATGGTCATGTCAATCTCGACGGCCATAATCTTCTTGCACCATGGCCCATACGATCTGATTATTGAACATGGGTTCTGTCTGATACGTTGTCATGGCATGCAGGGTATGCCCACTTTGTCGTGGAGACATCTGCAAAGCCGAACAGTCACCCGAAGGACACTCGTGAGAGATGCAGAGTCTGAATGGCTTTTTGTAATGATCCAATGATCATGTCGGAAATTTGAACGATCAATGTTGAGAACTGTAATGGTAAGCCATAGCTATCTGGGGTTATATACATGTTATCCACCCGGATTTGATCCTTTTGACACGCAGAGGAGATCGACACATGAGAGATTTTATCTCATGTTATTCCCCTGATGCGCCCTGATTTTTGGAGTTACCCGACCCGTCTTCGTCTTCATCTTTACGGATTTTAAGAAAGTATTATATCGGTTTCATTTCGTGAATTCCGGGAACCCGCAGCTCAGGACTTGACGATGAACTCAATTATCCGAAGATATCTAAGCCCGTCAAAAACTAGAAAAATAATCGATTTTTGTTGATTTCAGAAATATTTTGGTAATTTTAGTTGAAAGTATATTTAGATATTATTATAAATAGATTAAAATATTAAAGATGTAAACATCATTTTATTCTCGGGTATTTTGGGGTAATCCATCGTAGTTCAAAAAACCCGAACCCAATCCATATTTTTGGTTTCATCGCACCTGATTTCGGATACCCGAAAACCCACGAGTCTCGAGTATCCACGCCCAACCCTAGTTCGCATGCAAAAGAAATAGAAGAGCAAACAAGATTTTGTGTTTTGATTCATTTTCTGTTTCGTGGACACGACAAGATGAATTGAGCTAAAGCCCATGAGTTAATTGAACAACAAGATATGATAGTTCACCTCTTTCTAGTTTGGTAATAGAAAGAAGAACACCGCCTAATTAAAAGGGCCATTGGCAAGTTTTTCCATTTCTTTTTCCTCTTGGTTAAAGTAAAAGGTGAAATATAATATATATATATGTCTGCAATGAAATTGATTGCTTAACTGAGCTGATATTTAAAGAGACAAGAAAACATATAGTTGAGAAGAAAATAAAAAGAATATATATATATATATTTCGATTATGAGAATAATAATCAAAAGAGTTGTGAATTGCACATTAAGGATGGGGGAAGGGGGAGAGGCAGAGCAGCCAGCACACAAGACGGAGTGCTGAAGAAATGCTCTGTCTGCTCTGTTTTATTTCTCATTACTTTTCATCCAATTTCTTCTGTCTAACTAAAAGCCTACGAATCTCAAAAGTATAACAATGAATCAATTGCCAGGTATGAGAAGAAACAATTACTCTTTGATATATATATATATATATACGGTGATGGGTAGGTGGTGTTGAAAATTGGATCTTTTATAATGGAGGAGCATCTTGTTCTTGAGGGAGAAAAACCCTGTTGTGGCAGGTGGGGTTGCAAGGGTAAGGACAATCTATCTTCTGAAACAATTTTCTGTCGTAAACCCAATCTCCAACAGCCCTTGCTATCGTCTGCTCGAAAATTTAATCAGAAAGACATCAGAGGAAACGGTTTGTGGTGACCAGAAAGAGAGGATTCAAAGAACTTGTTTTTTACCGTTCTGTTTAGGCGAGGAGAATCGGTCCAGAACCAGGATGTTTGTGTTTCTGTTTGACAGTGAGTGTAGCATGAAACTATGAACATCCCTCTCGACGGAGATTTCCCGAGGCCTGTTACCGCGCTCAAGAACTGTAACCTGAAATCTGAATACCCAAAACCCATGTTAAACTATTCAGAGCTTTTCCTCAATGGTTTCGGTTTCAAAGGCTTTTTACCTTGCATAACTTTGATTTGGTTTGGCTGGCAGTTCTTTATGTCAAGTTCACAGCTTTGCCATTTCCCATTTGGATCCGCAGCTCGGGGAGCCAGTATGTTCTTTATCTGATGTAAAGACGATAAAATGTGACTTTCTCCAACGAGATTATAGGTGTGAAAGTGTATACATATTTCAGAGGACAAAGAAAGCACCTGCCAAGAGTCATATGCTGCATTCAGAAGGAAAAGGGGCGTTCTGATACGCCGAGCCACGTACTGTGGGAAGAAACACTGTGATTTCCATATTTTTTTCGTTAGTAAAAAAACTGAAGAGCCGTTCTTGTGAAGAGGCACCCTCGAAATGAATGCTTACCAAAGCAGGGTTTAGTTTTGAAGTGCATGAAGGCGGCAAATTCTTAGCCGATCCCTGAAAAAGTTCGATGAAGGTTCAGAGAAACCAAACATGAGTGATCCATAAGCACAAGACACGGACCAAACTGTGTCAAGACGATAAAATGTATCAAACCGTAGCTTACATGAAGTGTAACCACGTCCTTAAAGTACTGTCTAATGTATTGGACTCCAGAAACATCCCTTCTGGAACAGATCAAGATCTCAGTGTTTAGAAACATAATTCCTGTTGTACAAAAGTTTTTCGGTAGGAAGGTATTACGAATGTTCCCTTACGTATTCACGAAAAAACCAGCATCTGAAAGACATTTTACTTTGGTACCCATTGGTAAGAGAGCTCGGAAGCTGTCACAATGCAGCATTGAAGCTAACCCACCAGCCGAACAGCCGGACAGAACAGCCTGTCATAGTTTAACGACGTTTATACATATGGTCTTAAGGATCACATAACAAAAAAGAAAAAGCACATGTATCGGATTGAGGGAGAGGAATTGTAGTAAGCTCACATTCTCGGCATTTATCATGCCCTTAGCTAGCAGATCCTCCATGACAGCTAGCCAAACTCGAGCACCTCTGAAGTGAAGATTAGTAGCCTGATCAAATCACCATCTGATTAACAAACAAGGAAGAACTTCTCTTCCTTGATTACAAAAACATTCTTTTTTCACTTTGATACTTACAGGATCGACAGTTTGCACATCACCGGTGAACGAAGACCCGTCACAGTATCTGATTTTCACCCTATTCCAATTGTAAAAATCTGCCATTTCAAGAACCAACAAAACCGGAAAAGGCTAAGAAAGATGAAACCTCAGCCTTAATGGATCAATCGGTTAGAACCGTTCCTACCCGGGTTGTATTGCTTCCTATTGCTCAGAATGGCTGAGAAAGCAATTTGCTTAGCCATCTGTTTAGACGATCCTAACCGAGTATGCATCCGAGCAATACAGTTAGTGACATTGTTGCACCACCCTCCTCCCTAGACATCCGGAAAAAAAAATCATTCAACTTTCAGAAAGTTACCATTACTCATAGTTGTTCTACCATCTGGATACTTCAGACCTTGTTTCCAGAGCTCGAGAGAACGTGAATATCCGACTAAAACTCTGCCTTTCACACATCCCTCTACCGTTGCGAAGAAAATCACCTCAGACAACTAATGCCAAAAATTCCGGATTTTCTATTCATGCATTAGCCGAAAATGGCCAACACATTGGCGAAACAGAACTCATAAACATTTCGGACAAAACACAACGAACCTCAAGCTGTATCAACCAGTTGTTGATTCCAGTGCCAGAACCCTTGTCCAAATGATAAGCTGGAGGACTGCCATCCAAGCAAACTGCGCCGAAATTCTATTCATAAACACAACTTTCATGACTGAAAACGAATAAGAGCCCCAAATTGGAATGAGGGTATCTCACCTGCCCCTTTCGCCATCGCGGTTTTCACATATGTGATGTTGACAAACAGCCCTTCTGTTCTTAATAACACAACTGAACATACCACAAGAATCAGGCATTGCTTGAATCTTGTGTCTGCCATTCTGACAAAACATGAACCAAAAGTTAAAAATTTCCCCGCTAATGAGTACAATACCACTGAAGAACCGATGAAATACGAAAAGAAAAACACATTTTTGCTGCCATTATAATGTTGTACATTGAAGAACCCACGATGTGGAAGAAACAACACAGAACTAGACAAATCTCGATTTAGATCCCAACTACATGTTAACGTCACTACTCTTCGTCAGCATTTCGAATCTAGAAATGGAGTTTGCAATGGCGTAGATTTACTGATTCAGTTTTTGTAAACCCTTTGAACGAAAAAATCAGCTGGGGAATTAAAAAAAAAAAGTGAACTTTCCCGGAAAATTTTAGACGCTAAAGAAAGTCCATTGGGAAAAATCAAAGCTTTTTTCCTCTCGGGCGGAATGACGAACTAGTCATGGAACCGAGAAATCAAGATATGCATCATTACTCGATTATCTTAAACGCGGAACAATAATTTTTCTCGGGGAGAAGATTTCCGCCGCCATGAACAAGTGAAATGCACTTACTTGGGAACGCAGTTCTCGGCTAGCCGCGATAATCTCGACCTTGAAACGCGATTCTGACGGCAATGAAATTCGGCACATTGGCCAAAGAAGCGATCCCGAGCAATGCTGGAGCGAAGCGGGAACGGGGGAAAGAGAGGAACCGAGACGGTTCCCGGAATTAGCGTTTGTTGAACGCGCGTTTTAGAGGAACGTGCGTTTGGTCCCAACGTGCAATGTTTTCGTCAGGTCTAAGCGTTTTTCAGAGCCCAAGAGCCGACACTGATTCCTTCCTTCGTATAAGACAAGCCACGGTGGTGTGTACGAGAAGGACGAGCGGTGTATATAAAAGGAGAATTTCTGAAATTCCCCTTTATTATTTTATCTTTAGAAATTGACCCCGCCCATTATTTTTTTCACTATCTGCCTCTCTCTCTCATTCTTTTATGATCGTAAAGACAGTTGATCTTTACACCTTTTTGTTCAAGTAAAATATACAACCATATAAATATAATATTTAGTTTATCAAATTATCAATCAAAGTAACAAATAAATTAGAAGGGTATTAAAAGGTTTTACATTATAAAAATAGATACCGATTTACATGATCAATTATTAAAAAAAAAAAGCTCATAAGGTATGGATTCATCAAAATCTTACGTAAGTAATTTAACTTTCTTTGTCCAAACTGAAGCAATGGCCGCTTAGACACACAAAAACACAAAGGCTTGGGAATAAATGTCAATACATAAATTAAAGGGATGAATTTGGAAGACGCAAATAAAAAGGGGTCGTATTGGAATATTAAAAGATGTGATGACGAGTCGAACCCGGTTCGAGAACGACCGGGGAGGTGGGTAAGGAGACCCGGTTGGACCGGTGAAGGCGTTGCTGAAATGTAACGAATCTTATCGGCTTGCGCGTTCCACCACCAACCAGCGGTTGACATTTTTATTTTCCCGAATTCAGCTTTTATTTTGGCCCAAAAAAAAGATACTATTCCGTGTGAACAACACCACCGTTGTTCCCGTGAGCCCACCTTCCCCTTTTTTGCCATAAAGGAAAGCCAAAAACTCATTCCAAAGGCAGCAAATATTCCAAATTTTACACTTTTTTAATATCTATAATTATACACAATATTTCAATGTTGGTCTAAGCGAGAAGAAAGGATCTATGATTATATACACAATAAATGTAATATATATTGGAAATCTTATAGGATCTTTATTAATTAATTAGATCATCACAAAATAAAAAGTATTTCTTGTGCGTATAATGCATTGTATCCATGACTTTGATCTTGGAGACGAATTATTTATGGTTAAATGTGAACCCTTTTCACCGGAAGGTCTTTACCCAAAAAAAAAATATATGAAGATAATGTGTCGTACAAAATCATATATTTTTACAAAAAAAAAAATGTCCCTTTAGCGTAAAAATGCACACCCCAAAATTAATTAAATGTAAATTTGGATCAAAGGGCATTTGCTTTAAATTCATATACCTCCATAGATATAGCGAAAATGTTTTTACAAGTTCATGCGAAATAGAAAGATAGAGAGAGAGAGAAAAATGTACAAACGCCGAATTGTTAAAACATCGTCCACGGGAACCGAATGTTATGAATATTATTAAGATTATAATAATATTAAAAAAGGTATGAATTTGGCATCATTGCATTATGATAGATTGGGTTGACAACAGAAGGGAGTCGACGTACCAAAATGCATGATGGGTTCATATATCATCGTGTTCCATGGTTTTGTTTTCTTTCACGCAGATGTTACATGATTATAAGTGGAAGCAACGTGCCATTCTCAGTCTTGGAATATAACACATATAATATATTAATTTCATTTTCTTTGATTAAATAATAATAAAGATTCATAGAGCTGTGACAACTGTAACATAATTAAATCCAAGAGTATCGTGTTTTTTTCTGTATATATATATATATATATATATATATATATATTAAAACCTTATTTTTTTGGGATTCTTTTAAAATATCATATCCATGTTATTCGGGTATCCAACACCCCAAGTACGTCGTACATGCATGAATACATGTTCTCTAATCTGTGCATTTTATTAATTATATAATATGTAATCAAATTAAACAACCTTGGTTTTATTAATTTTTGTGGGAGAAAAATGCGAACCGCTATGATTGGATGCCTTGACACGTGGCGGCCTTAGAGTGGATAAAGGAAGAAGCCAAACGCGTGACTGACGGTGGAGATCTCCTAACATGGGTCCCACATGCAGACATAACGCAAACAACGAGCAAGTATATGCGCTTATTGTCATATCACGCGCTATGAAGGCAAGTGCATTTCACGCGAGGGTTGTTGACGGTGGCACCGATCGACGATAGAATTTAATCATTGCTGAATTTATGAGAGAATATAAACCCAAAAGCTGGCATATTTAAAATCGTACCGAGTTTTATTAGAATTCGTTTGTATTTAGTTCATAAAAAATGTACTCTCTTTAAGTACTTTGTTTTTCTATTTTCTGTTATTTTCATATTTAATGCAAATTTAATTGATTTGTTTTTAAAAAAACATCATCAATTAATTTTAAAATGGAATTCAATTTTTGTACATCAAAACTAAAAAATTTGTCATCTGGTCACCAGATATATCATAATCCTGTTACTATATATATAAAATCCTAAATTTTCAAAATCAGTTTGATAGATATCCAACCAATCAATGGTGAGGAGAATTTGGATACATCAAATTGAAAAAACAAATATAAAAAACAGGCTTCTGATATATAAGTTTGGTTTGGCCACCCGTTTCGGTCTACTTGCCCATTAGGGTTTCAAGGTACGTAGACCATTGCAAAGGTTGAAACTTGAAAGTAGAGGCAAAATACACGAATTTCAGATATTCGTTTTAATCCGAAGGTTAGATATGCGAATTTTGACAAAGTGAATCAACCTGTTTTCCAACTATATAAAGACCAGACATTAATATTTTGAAATTTGGGTTTGAGTTTGGGTTTATATAATTTTTGTGTCGAATAATTACCTTGGATATCCAAATAATAAAAATTATTTATTATATTTTTGAATTATTAGAAAATTATAAAGTCTATCAATTTTTTGTATTTATTTATATAATAAAACTGTGATTTTGGGATTTAATTATTTTGAATATAAATATTTTTCAATAATTTTATACATTATTTGTATGTGATTTGTGAATTATTTTGAATATAAATATTTGTGTTTTATTAT